GATTATTTCTCCAGTCTAGGAGCAGAGGTCTCTGGGACCACCAACGGATAAGAGCCGAGAACGGGACCCCACCCAGAGAACTGGGGATGCCTGAAATGGAGACAGAGATGATGACATGGAGGGATGAAGTGGCTGGGGGCTTTGGATCCAGAGAGGGAGAGCAACTGTGGGCTGAAGACTGAGGGGGGAGGGGGGAGTGTAGAGCATGGCCTTCTAGGATATGCCCTTTGGTCGAAAGACGATGCATGGAGGGGATTGGAACCATGACAATGTAATGATATATGATGGAATGAATATAGAACTGAGGTTCTCTCATGTAAACTATCATATAACTCACAATAAAACATAAAAATAAATAAATAAATAAAGTGTTTGAGGACTAAAGTGTGCCTGAACCCAGCCATGATCTTGTCAATTCCTTCATATTAATGTGAAGGCTGGACAATGAATAAGGAAAGACTGGAGAAGATTTGAAGCATTTCAATTACGGTATTGGTGAAGAATCTTGAAAGTATCATGGACTGCCAGAAGAATAAATAAATGTATTTTGGAAGAAGTACAGCTAGCATGCTCCTTGGAAGTGAGGATGGTGACTTTATCTAAGGTACTTTGGACATGCTAAAGTCCCTGGGGTAAGGGCCAACATGCTTTGTAAAGCAGATGGTCAGTGAAAAAGAGGAAGATGCCTAAGTGGGAATGACACAGTAGCTACAACAATGGTGCAAATGCAACAATTGTGAGAGCGGCGCAGACCAGGCAGTGTTTTGTTCTGTTAGACACAGGGCTGCTATGAGTCAGAACTGACTAGATGGCACCTAACAACAACAAGGACTTGGATTAAAAACAAAAGGCAATTTTACTTGTCTTTTAACTAATTCTGAGTCAGTTTAGCAAGCCACTTTAGGGGTTTGGCACACCATGTTTGCAGCCCAAGAAATAATTTTTGCATAAACCTTTTGATAAATGGAGTGCTGGTGTGGCATTGTGGGTTAATGCGCTCAACTGCAAAGTCAGTTTGAATGCAGTCGGCAATTCAAGTTAGCCAGCCACTCCTTGGAAACCCTATACAGGTCATAATGGGTCAGAACTGACTTGATGGTAATTAACAACAACATTTGATAAATAAGTATGCCTGAATGTCCTCCACTCTCCTGTTCACCCCCTAAAAACCAAGTGCTCTGGCCCCATTGGCGCAGGTCCCAGTGTACTCACGTGATTGAGGAATTTGCTGTCTCGAGTGGCCCAGCCTATCTGCATGACACCAGAGGTGATCACTGTCACTTCGTAGTACCACACCCCAGCGTCCACACAAAAGGTGCAACGCACACTTTCAAAGGAGGAGGCATCACAGCGAGCCTGGAAAACCCGAAGAGTGTGATAGTCCACATCAGTGCCTGAAGACCACCAGAAGTAACAATACTCAGAGGTTAAAGGCAGATTTCCTTATTAAAGCTTCCACTAGGTTATTATTTTCTCCTATGCCCACTCCTTCAGTGACCAAAAAAAGCAAAACTGAATGATGCATACTCTATGACTATTTATATTTCCAAGGAATTCCAACATTGGTGAAGCTTACCAGGTCTTAAAAATGGCTGTAGGAAGAATAGGTAAAGGCTACTGGCTTCATTTTCTAAGTCTTTACAGAGCCTTGCTCTTATATTAGAGACTTTTTGTTGTTGCTAAGTGCCATTGAGTCAGTTCTGACTCATAGCAATTCTGCAAAGGGTTTCCAAGGAGCAGCTGGTGGGCTGAAGCTATTGACCTTATGGTTCACAGTCCAGTGCTGAACCTAGGCCAGGAGTCTCTCTCTCTATATACACACACACACATACACAACCTATAGCTGAAAGGTTCGTGAGAGGTTTGACAATACCGAAGATCAAAGAGAAGGAACCTTAGTGACACAGTGGGTTATGCACTGGGTTCCTAACTGCTAGATCAGCAGTGAGCAGTTCAATCCCACCAGCTACGTTTTCTGCTCCTGAAAAAGATTTATAGACTCAGAAACCCTGTACAGAGTCAGAATCGACTTGATGGCACAAAGCCAGCCATCCAGACAAGATCAAAGAGATGTTTGCAGCATTCTCAAGCTGTTCTTTTAATCCTAATAGTACCTTCCTGGACATAAACAAGTCGTACTTTCATCCACCTTTACCACAAAGTCAGCAACATTTCCAACATACAATCTCTCATGTAGGAAGGAGAGCCCTAATTTACTACAACTAGCTATGCAGGGATGGAAAGAACGAAAATGGGATTGAAAACAGATAAATTCTTACACCTAATGCGAAACAACAAGAGTAGATTATTCTCTCCCTCACCACTTCTAGCCCTAACCACTTTTTGTGTATGAAATAAATAAGCTTCCATCTATTCTACAAGCAATTACCTTTGTTCTGAACCAGGACATGAAAATGAGAACAGAAATGATATTCCTCCCTCCTGCCCCCCCCCACCCTGCACCCCACTCTGGTTCCCAAAGGGCCACTTGTAGGAGTTTTACCTCTAAGCCATGAGGTGAGATCTTCAGGTACTCGCTGACATCGTTGCTATTCAACATAGCCCTAATGTTATTTAAGTCCACTTTCTCATAGGTCAGCTGCCTACCTTCTTTTAAAACTGCAAAAGAAAAAGCAGTTGTGTTTCTAAGGCAGATGTCATTGCTAGCTGCCATCCAAATACGGAATGGCGGTGGCCATAAATGGCAGACTTTGTGGGAGACATAGCTTTGGTTTTGCTGTTATCCTACCATATGAAGACTTAGCAAGAAAATGCTAGGAATGACAGCACTGCTAGGTTTATGCTTTTCTTCCCTCTAGCCATCATTTTATGTGACACACAATCCAAACTGCACTCCTTCACCATTATTTAACTGCCACTATATAGGCTGTGGCTTAAGTTTCTTCCAACATGGTTGGGGTAGGAACAGGGGTCCCCTGTACCTGTGCTTTAGCACATAATTTTAGTTCTACAGCCCTTAGAGAAGTTTATAACAGGCTTCAGATATACAACAAATCCTCATAGAGGAACTAGCGTTTGATTGTAGACAGTATGTTACTAGACCGAGCCTTAATGGTTAATGGAATTCAGAAGAAAAAAGGCAGGAATAAGTCACATGGTGTAGTTGAGTTTTGAATGCTGGAGGTGGGATAGGAAGAAAGAATTCTACGTGAGGGGGTATGGGCCCAGAAGCTGTATGTATGTATGCTTGGGAGCTATATGTAGGGCAGAGAGGAGACAGTCTGCACTGGGAAGAGTTGGTTAGGTGAGCCATATGACTGAAGACCTGGATGTAGCAGGAAACAGAGCATCAATAGAGGTTTTTTAACAGGAGAGTGCAGTCATGAGTAGCACCCCATCTAACTCTTTTCTGAAGAGTCCCAAACATACTTTCTGCTAGAATTTACACACCCTTACTAGTAGAAGCCCTTATAAAGCAAGACTCACACTAACTAGCACAAGAGATAGCCCAGTGACTCTATAGAAGTTAGGGGTTTGGCAATGGAAACAGACGTTTTAACAAAGGCCAACTAGCACTCACAGAGATTGTCTAAGCTCCACTGGGCACAGAAACCAACTTGGCGTTTCAGATAATCAGGATCATCAGCCCAGGACTCCAACGTGACAAGCCGGTCACTGATACTAGATTCAGAGATAGTCAATTTATTTTCACCTGTTGGGAAAGATGTGAACCTTAAGTTAACAATGAAAGAGTACGAGGATTTGTTGGGCAGGCGAGTGGTGGCAAGGAGTGAGGAGAGTTGGAGACAGAATGGACTTGCGTTACAGTTTCTAGGAACGACATAGAGCTCTGACTGCTTTCTAGAGTGGCAACCTCATCATAGTAATCACAGCCGCCAGGTTTCTTTTCCTTCTTCTTCCTTGGTAGCCCATGTAACGGCTTGTCTCACTGAGGAGACAGCACTGGAAGAGGCTGGACTTTCTTGCTACAGCGAGTGTAAACTGTGTCAGTTTGATTATGTGCCACAGAGTGTTCCTTGCTTCTGCCAAGTTTTGATTCTTAGGAGAGAAACCCCTTGACTTTGTTCTTGTCACGTCTTACTGACCTTGAAGTGGCTACCCAGACAAAACCAGAATATATGTACATTTCAAATGTCATTCAAAGTGTATAGGTTCATCCAGGAAGTAAGAGAAACTATTTTTACCCGCCAATAGAGCAGATCACGTGTGCAGGAAGTCTTTATACCTACTTGTCTGTGCAAACTTTTCCAGTGCAATGAGTGCAAAGAGCATGACCGTGGGGTGGGACTGGGACTTCTGAAAGACACAAGAAATGGAAAGACAACATCATCCCTCCACAGAAGAAGCAGGCTACCCATGTCATCTTCTTGCTCATTATATAAGAGATGTTCTGTGTGTGCAATCAGAAAAGTTTCAGTCATCTAACTCATTTGGCTAATAATGAAGAACCAAGATGGAGTCTCTCAATCTTTATGTGTGTGCAATAGCTTGGATTAGTTTACAAATATGGAAAATTCAAACGTAGTTTGTTAAGTGCACTATGATTTTTCACTTAGTTAAATAATATAATGCTGATTCCCACATTCATTTCAGCAAGCCAAACAGATATTTAGAACTACAGGGAAAATTACCTTTTATTCAGAACCCAAAGAAAAGCCTCTGATTTCCAAAATTATAAGTTAATGCAATTAATAAAGCATGACTGAGCTTCACTCTTTTCCCTGAAGGGAATTCTACAAATGTTGATGGCAGATGAGACAGGGTAGCCAGTGGGCTCTTGTGGTTCCACTTCATGTCTGTGGGTTCACGAGTCAAGATAAGCCTGTCAGCTTAATGTAACACCTCACGCTCCTCACAGCCCACTTTTCCTACACCTGTGTCAGAAGCCTCTAACAGAGCTTTAGGAACACAGGATGTTTCCCACCCACGTCCCTGGTGCCAAACTAGGTTCTGCAAAGCTTGTAAACCACCATCCTTTCTGGATCATGGTTTCTGATTGGGAAACCCTCTGCCTGGCTTTTTAGGTATTGAATTCCCTCCTGCCCTCTAACCTGGCTACTTAAGTCTTCTGTCATCCTATCCCCGAACACTGTCTTCTCTGATCAGACAATTCTTAGTAACATATCAGGAACATGGTCATGTATCTCTGGACTTCTGCATGGGGTGTTTCTTCAGCCTGGAAAGTCATTTCTTCCTTCCTCAAACCTGACCTCATGGTCTGCCCAGCAGCATCTCATCTTCATCAGGGTATCTTTGCTGACTCTCCCAGCTCTCACAGTCCATACCTACCTCACTTTGCTGGGAATGCCTGTGGTACTCAGACTGAAGGAGGCAATTTTGTCCTGCATCACATTTTGTCCTAAAATGGAGCCAGACAGTCTTGTCTGGGTAGTTTTACTCTCTCAAACTAACTAGTAAACTTCTTGATCAAAAAGGATTATTTCAATATTTCTGTATCCCCGCAATGCCCAGCACTGTTGTTAAGTGCTATTGAGTCGGGTCCGACTCATAGCAACCCTGTATAGGGTTTCCAAGGAGCAGCTGGTGAGTGAACCACTCACCTTGCAGTTCAAACTGACCTTCAGGTCTTACCGTGCTGTACCAGGACTCATATGCCTAGCAAAGTGTGTTTGAAGCACATACCATATAGATAATATAGAATAAAGCATTTTAGATATGAGTTTTGAAAAAGGCCAGTGCTCACTGGTGTTGTTGTTAAGCGCCATTGAGTTGGTCCTGACTCACAGCGATTCTATATAGGGTTCCTGAAGAGCAGATGGTAGATTTGAACTGCCGACCTTACAGTTCAAACTGACCTTATGGTCCAATGCTTATACTACTCTAATGCTCACCAGGCCTGCAAAAATAACTTCTAAAATCTCAAATCCTCTAAGTGCAGTCAGGAGCTAGAGGGGAAGAGGAGCAGAGATTTATATATATATACTTGGGATCTGACAGTCACCTGACTCGGAAAGCCAAATATTTTGGTTTTCACTGTGGAGGTCCCTACTACTATTTAGAAGATTCAAAAGAAACATTAAAAGCCCATCATGGCAGTTGTGACTGACTTTCAAACCAGACCAAATCAGCTGTTTTCACTTGCAATAAATTCCTATTTCACACACACCCCGTTTTTTTAAAAATAGAAGGAAATAAATAAATGCTCAGGAAACACCTGCAAATAAAATTTATAACTGATTCCATTCCCTACTTAGTAGTTCTACTGGCAATTTGAGAAAATGTACAATTTTAGATGACTAAGCTTTGATGTCTCACTTACCAGACACTGTAGCAAATACTCCAGTATTCCTGGGCTAAGTAAACCGATACTTGCAGGACCTAGATGAGCATAACAAACAATGGATAGGATTAAATAAGCCACCTTGGTATCAATCAGCAACAAATAAGAAGTGTGGTAGAACCATACTTTTTTTTTTTTTAATTTTTTTTATTTGACAATGCATTTTAGAGACCTAGTTGTATACATATAGGTCCAATTCCATTTTTAAAAAGTACTGCATGAGATTCTATGCTGTGAAAATGTCTCATTCTATCTAGGTATTTCAGTATTAGTGGACATACAGGTTGCTTCTATTTCAAATGCTACTGTAGTGATGATGATCTCTTACACCCTCATGTTTTCTGAGGGTAGATAATGGAGAAGGGTATGCACATAGGCCTTCTAAAAGAAGGAACCCCACCGGCACAATGGTTAAGTGCTCATCTGCCAACTGAAATATTGACAGTTCAAACCCACCCATTGGCAATCTGCTCCCGTAAATACTACAATCTGGAAAACCCTGCTGAAAGTGTTCTAGTTTATCACTTGAGGATGCTATGAGTCAAAATCCACTCGATGGCACTGCTACCACCGAGTTTCCAAGGACACTGGTAAGCCCTCCAAAGTATCTGTACCAATACACGGTGCCATCAACACCATCTGAGAAGAAACATGTCCTCACATCCTGGTCAACACCTGATGCTATCAGACATCCAAGTGTTCACCCATGTGAGGGCTGACAAACACCACCTCACTTTAACTTACCTTTACCTCAATATTTAAGGAGCTCTGGTAGCGTAGTGGTTACAAATCAGGCTGCAAACCACAAGGTCAACAGTTCGAAACT